TGATATAGCTTTTTAAATGAAATTCAGCTGAGAATTTTTGTAACCTTGCTAAAAATGAATAATGTCTGTTTTTCCTTTATCTGATGTCCTTGTGTAGTTATAATAATAATTGTTGCATTTGATATAGTGCTTTTCACGTCTTCTAGATGTCTCAAAGTGCTTCACAGAATATACCGTAAAGTGGATTGACTGTATATTTGTGGGCGAAACGCGGCAGCTAATTGCGCACAGCAGTGTCCTACAATTGTGTAGTTATGCAGAAAAGAGATGTGTAACTGGAGGGCTTTGGTACGTGGAAGTGGGAGGGAGAGTGTGTTGGCAGTCTCAAGCTCTGAGAAAAAGACAGTAGTGTATGTGTTGGGGTTGGGGGTGGCGTTAACTAATGTGAGTTGTTTGAAGTCTTTGTTCTCTTAAATAAAGTTTAACATGAGTTAATGTTCAAGTACAGCATTTGACATATTTGTTCAGGTATTGGTTACTAACTTGCCTGAAGTTGAAACAGTCCTCTGAAGTATAGAAGACAATAATTGCACTGTTTCTCAGATAGATAAATATGCCTTTCTGTACATGCAAGTCGCTATATAAAAGATTTCTTAAATAAAACACCTGTGAACTTGAATGTCTCGATGTCTAAAAACGTAAAAGATTTTTAAGTCAATAATTTTATTGAAATTAAATGTAAAACAGAATTGACCCAACAGGAGGAGAAACATGATTAGCATAAAAAATAAAATGGATTGGTTGAGCCGAGCGGCCTATTTCCATGCTGTATAGTCCATGTAAATCTATATTTTTATAGTTATTTCACTTCAACTAGAGATGACAAAAATATTAATTCTACCTTTGTGTTCAGTGAGTTTAGGGGATGATATCTCATCTGGTGGTGGATCTTTAACTGATTCTAAAATATTCAGTCCAATTTGAAGCTATTTTTGGTTGTAAACTCTGTGATGTAAACTTACATTATTGTGATAGGCACAACTATATCTTCCATACAGTCGTTGCACATGTATCCATTAGGTAACAGTATGTTCAGAATAGTGTTCTAATAAGATGCAAATGAATTTATAACTCGGAAAGTAATTGTCGAAACCATATTCACCAATCTTCTCTGTTGATTCATGATGCCTTTCCATGCATTGGGGTCAGATGTTTTCATTAGTGTGATTCTGCATTGTAAAAACAAATCAATTCTCATCACACTGACCAGTATTAAACCAAGGCTTGAACTGGGCATGACTAGAAAAAATCTAGGCAAATATGCGTGGCTGAAATTAATTGGATGCTCTCCTTTAATAATTGACTTAATTAGTGTTGTTGAGGCATAAAGATAAAATGTTTCTGTCCTAATAAACAATTGTAGAAAAATGTGACCCACATTTTACTCCACATTATGTGTGGAGTAACGACCCACCTTACCTGGCCACAAAATAAATGTACAACAAGATGTTTACATTAAATCAGACAATATGTATATCATGACATGGAGGCATTTGCCACCAGATTTGCCACCTACTTAAAGGTATACCCACGCTGGGGTCTAATCAGAATCAGTATTGATACTTCATAAGATCGCAATTGAGATTCAGGTATTTACACTTAGCCTTCCAGAATAACACCATCTCTGGAAGGGTGTTATTCTGGAAGGCTAAGCCTTATTATTCCTGGTGAATAATACTCTCTAGAATTAGTTAAGCAGGATGTATCCCTCTGGGAAGAAAGTGTGCATTCCATTCCAAACACAGGAATTTCCATGTCTAGATGGCATGTTTGGAACTCTCAGTTTGGTTTGGATACTCTTAAACATGTTATCAGACATCCAGCTGCCTAAAAAAAATTCTTAAAACAGCTTCAATTGATTTCTTAAATAAGTTTAATATTCTGACCTCTATCACCAATCCTGGTAACCTATCCCACCTGTTGATTACCCTCTGTGAAAAGAAATGTCCCAGTGTCTGTCCTGGACTTGCCCTTCACAATTCTGAACATGAATCTCTTGCCTTGTTCTCTTATTTATTTGAAAGTGTTCTTCTGGGAATATTTTTTCTATCACATTAACCATCTTGCCTACCTGTAAGATGTTCTCTCAGATATATTCTCTTGAGGCTGAAGAGCTCTATTTGATTTCCTGTTTCCTGATAGCTCACCTATCTAACACTGAAGACAATAAGCATAATGAGCTTATATTTTCGAGGGTAGAATAAAACTGCAGAGAATTCCTCCTAGAAGCGCTCTGAGACACTAAGGGTGCTATATAAATAATAATAATAATATGCAAGTTGTTGCTGAGGGAGGATAACAGATCAGAGTAGCAGAATAACAGTTCCAATAACAAAAAGGAATTATAACCCAGGACACCCTGTCCCAATGGTTGTAAATAGTATATACTACATGACTGACTTACAATAGTTCAGTCCAATAAAATTAGGACAACTAACTTTCCAAAATCAGGATAATTTCGAAAATTCACTTACAAAGTATCTTACTTTGCATCTGGGATCCCACACTGATCAAATGTACTACCATTTGTATGTATATAATAATAATAATAATAATAATAATAAACCTTGCATTTGATATAGTGCCTGATCACATCTTCGAGATGTCTCAAAGCACTTCACAGAATATACTGGTAAGTGAATTGGCTGCATATTTTGTGGCTGAAATGTAGCAACCAATTGCACATGACAGTGTTCCGCAAATAGTGGTGGATTGAGTGACCACCTTTTTTTTAAGCGATTATTATCCCCAGAAAAGTGATCCACCAATTGACTAACAGCCGTGCTCCTACTTACTACTGGGTAAACAGAGGCATGTGGAGTAAGGAAATTTGCCTAATGTTTCACCCTGTCGGGAATTGAACTCAGACCCTCTCGCTTGCGAGGCGTGTGCTCTAACCACTGAGCTACAGGACTCCATATGGTAGAAAAATAAATTTCCAGTGGTCACTACAAATGAAACTGAAGTTCATTAATTCTACTAGCTTTCATATGAATGCAAATAGTTGTATGAAGTTATTTCAGTTTTCCAATTTGCTGTAAAAATGCAGAGATTTCCTCCTAGATTACACTGTAGGTATTTCAAGTTTGATGTAGTTTACAGTTTTAATAGCTGTAACTGTGAAAATTTACTATAAAATATATTTTAATAAATTGTATTAGTATTTAAAGATTATTTAAATTCCATTGGTATTGTAATTTGAATTAACTCACCATTTCTCAACACTTAACATACTCGCGACTTTTTTTTAACCAATCTTTGGTGTTTTACCAGTTCAGAAAATGTTTGGAGAAAATTGCAGCCATGCTTGGCCATGCCTTTCCATCTTCCTCTTGATGTGAAAGGCGCTATACAAATGTAATTTGTTGTTGTTGTTGTTTATGGTTATAAAAAGTTCTTCACTTAAGAATGCGAACTTAAGTTGTACCTTGTAAACTTTTATCTATAAGATGGCAATTCACTGTCCTGTATATCAGAATAAATGCTGATGGGAATGATAAGGTAATAATGAATGTGTATAACAAGTGAATCCAACACGAGGCTGAACAATTTCTATGAATAATGTGTAGGATTTAGGAGCATTAAAGTTTGAGCCTCTAGCCACCGGCTGCTATTAGTTCATGTTATAATTATAATGTATAATAGATGAAACATAGCCTTTAAAGGTCTTAAACGGGTATATAATATGACGAGATAAATGGCCACTTCCCCCATTCCAATAGAATTAGCCGCTGAGCTAATCGGTTCACCTGGCAGTGTTGAAGGATAGCATCCACCACATCAACCAAAGGCAGTGCTGGTTCACAGGTTAATTACCACAAGTTGCTAAGTACCTCCTGATATTCGGAGATCACTTCTGCCAACCGTTTGTCATTCTGCTGCGTGTGATTCTTTGCAGTTCCACTTCACAAATCCAAAGGTGAAATCGCCGAACTGAACACGAATGGTTAACGTCAAATTCATCTTTATAAAAAATGATGATGTTACGGCTTATCTGGATTGAATGATATTTTAGGAATGAAAGTCTAACTATGTTTAGCAGCACTGATATAGCTTTTTGCAAACTCTCGGAAAGCAAAACAATTCTATCACACGTTGTCATCCCCAGTATAACTTTTGGAAATGACCCACCTCAGAATTGACAATTTATTTTACAATTACATTGTTCAGTCAAATCATTCTCTTACCAACTTGTTAGATTGTTACCTTTATCTGTTATTAAAAACAAAAATAGAAATGTTATATATTTGTGATTTTCTGTTTTTGATGTAACTACTGGTCTAGCCGTCCTGAATGGGTTAATGTGGATTGCTTATGTGGATAAGTTGATATATAAAAACGGCGATTGTATCACTTACTAGTTTCACAGAGGGTGTGCTGAAGAATTCTCTCCAAAGGCTACACTTATGAGAAAGTGCTTGAAGGCACCTCTCACATCGCATTATGTGATATATGTTGTAAATCGTGCAAAAGATGAACTATTTCACAAGCTATCGCAATATTTCCCAAGGACATGTGTGCTCCTTAAAACTTTTCGACTCGCAGTGTCTCCCGAGGCTCGAACACTTGATGATTTTATTCATGAATAAAAAAGGTTTGATTATTGATCCGTGATTAATCCACATTACATTTGACTTTGCCCGGATCCATTACGTCAGTGGGTTTGTTGCAGTCTGGGCTGGGTTGCTGCAGGTGCCTGTGGAAGCGCTTGCTCCTGCCAAGCCCTGCCAGGGGGCATCTCCAGCACTCCAGCTCACTGAGGCTGAGTGATGCTGGCACTCCTGCCACCGCCCGAGGAAATCTCAGCTTTTGGTTAAAGAAAGTATTTTTGTAAAAAAAAAGCATTTATTTTAAGAATTGCACTAACTGCTGCTTAGTGTTTTTTTCCTGTCGGGAATATATATACATAAGTTTCCATCATTACGTCTAAAAGTAAAGAGTTATTGACATTGGCTTCTCGGATATTCCGAAGAAAGCGTCTAATTGTGGGACTGGTGTGCATCGCCATGGTGTTGATCCTCCTCATAACTATCCCAATTCTCGTCCACAGCTCTGAGGCTGTCGCTCACTATGAGATGCTCGGGACGTGCCGGATGATCTGCGATCCTTACAACCCTAACCCCAGCAGCACGTCTGTGGAGGGTATGCAGGATTTCAGTGCCATCCCCCCACCGCCCTTCATCAAAGGATCTACAGGAGAACCTGGGCGAGCAGGGAAACCCGGGCCAAGAGGTCCTCCAGGAGAGGCCGGGCCAGCGGGTCCGAGAGGACCTCCCGGGGAGAGAGGGGATGTGGGGAAGCTTGGTTTCCCTGCACTGAGCGGCTCAGGAGAGACCATTACCGGCGCACTGAGCAGCACCGCCTTCAGCAACTCCAAGATCGCCTTTTACGTGGGTCTGAAAAGTCCACACGAAGGATACGAGGTGCTGAAGTTCGACGATGTGGTGACAAATTTAGGGAATTACTACGATCCCGGCACCGGGAAGTTTACATGTGCCGTGTCCGGCATCTACTTCTTCACTTACCATGTCCTGATGAGAGGCGGCGATGGCACAAGCATGTGGGCTGATCTGTGTAAAAACGGACAGGTCAGTGACCGGCCAGGAACCATCCTGGTATTGAGAGCGACGATCGTTGTGTTGCTAAGTTCCGTCTTACCATAATGTTGGTGAATTATTAATCACTTTCCTGGGGTTCATTAACTTTAAATAGAGTTGTGTGCTGTAGGGAAATTAGTTTATAGATGGGATTATGAATAGGTGATTTGCCTCTTTGCACTTTAGATGGGTATCTCACTCACGAAGAATCTTCGACTTGTTGAAGTGCTGTCCAGTCTGTGCATTTAACACTGTTTACAGGAGACCAGAAATGAGAAAAGGGTTCACTTGTTGAACCTGCTGCTTCTGTCACCTGGAATCATTTTGACAAACCTGCTCGGCCACGCACACGATGGGGTTGTTTTAGATGTTATGATGTTGTTGAGATGTTTTAGTTCATGATATTAGAGTGTTCCAGTTTAACAGTCAGACAATAAATCAGCCAAACGCCGGATGTAACAGTGTGTTCCATCCCTTCTGTTTGTGTAGGTCCGCGCCAGTGCCATTGCCCAGGACGCCGATCAGAATTATGATTATGCGAGTAACAGTGTGGTTCTGCATCTGGATTCTGGAGACGAGATTTATGTGAAACTGGACGGTGGGAAAGCACATGGCGGCAACAATAACAAATACAGCACTTTTTCTGGTTTCATTTTATACCCAGATTAAACAGCCTAAATTACAGCAAATTGTATTCCAACTATTCATAACATTGTTATTTAACAATGTCTATTGGGTCACATTGTTTTGGGATGTTATTTTAATTTCATATGTGTTTGTGTCGCTTTCGTGTTAGGCATGTTTGTAAATGAATTGGCACATAGCATACACTCCGTTTTGCTGAGAATGGTCAGGTGGGAAGAATAACGTACAAAGAATTATTAGCTCCCATCGGTCGTATTAAGAGTCCAAAGTATTGTGAGGTGACATACAACAGTATTCATGATGCACCTTTGTATGAATAACATAATTAATTTGTAGATTGGTAAATCTATACCACAATTGTATGTGGATGGTCCACCTTATCAATGCAACTTAAAATTCCCGTGTGTTAATACGACATTAAATTGTGTTTTCTACAGTTCTTTGCTGTGGTCCTTTCAATATATTTAAAGTGGCCCCAATACCTTTATACATGGGTACACGTTTAGTTGCGCGTTTCACTGTTTTTGAAACACTGTAATATTGGTTAAGCGCTGTGGCCCCGCGCCCACAGGCTCTGCTCTGGGAATTAGTTGAATTTGCAGCCCACCATATTCCAGCACATATTAACAAATGATAACCACAAATCTTTGCGAAGTACTGTTTTTTTTAGCCGTGTTGTTTGCAGAGATCATCGTCCAGTTGAATTCTAACCATGTATGTTAGTAATCGACCAGTTACATCTAGTGAATAACTAGTAACGTTTGAGATGCAATGCTAATAGCGCTTGAGTGCCTGCATCATGTTATTTTCAAAGACAGTTAACAGGATAAGGCAAATGGTTCTTTGGAGCTGATTGTATTCTCAGAAAAGATCACTAGATTAGTTTAAACCTCATAACTCGGAACGGCCAGTGTTCTTGTTACTAAATAGACATACATTTTCTAAGCGTTCTGATTCTTTATTTAAGTTTGTAATGCACCATATGAAATATATGTACTGAAAAGTCGAGTTGATTGTAAATGATACATTTGCTGCATGCACAATTCATAAGCTAGGCATAAAGGGAACTTTAGCTGCAGTGCATTGTAATTCACATTAAAGCCCCATTATATCCAGTCCCCTGTAAATGATAAAAGTGACAGAACTGTTCCAAAAATAGCATCCGTTTTGTGAAAAGTTTAATAAAGATCTGCATATTTTATGTGTTATCAGTCTCCAGAATATGCCGGGGTTTAGGGACAGAAAGTACGAATTTATCTTCAAGCTTGGTCAAAGTTAACTATATTAGTGGCAGTTTCATTCAATTCTTTAATCTCGGTTTAGAAATCTCTCTCATCCACTGAGCGGTTGCAACCCATACCTCAACATTTGTTTTAAATTTAAAAATTAATATTGAAATTCAAGGGCTTTTCTTGTGGCAGATGAAAATCTTGAGATATACCACCACGCTTTATCCTGGTGCAAAGAGAAACTGTTTGTACTTTTAACAAAGACCCAGGATTCCCTGTGGTGAGAGGGCAATGAAGATTCATTGCAGGGGAATTGGTGTTCACATTAACAATACAAATTGCAATCCCAGATTCTTAAATCTGTATTCCCTACTGCAGTCTGCTTCCTTCAATTCTCATTCACTGCGGCATGTGTGTCTCTTGAGGTGTCAAGAGCAAAAAGCATGATCGATTGATGAGGCTTGTGGAAGAGGAGGGTTACGTGACAGTTCACGCTGACAGTGATTTATGTATCCTCACATTATCAATGTCATGACGGAGATTTAGGTAGGCTTGCCAAGAACCCACTTTCTACTGACTGTCATGTTGCTAATTATCACGTCGGATTACACTCAGAAAGACATATTGCTGGTGTCAATGACAACAGACACAATCGATAAAACAAGACGTATCAATTTAATACAGGTTTTACTGATGCACCTTTCCATTTTCTAAAAATGGTACACGAGTCCTGTAGCTCAGTGGTTAGAACACTTGTCTCGCAAGCGAGAGACCTGGGTTTGATTCCCGGCAGGACGAAACCTTGGCCAAGTTTCCTTACTCTACATGCCTGATAATAATCCCTCCAAAAAAAATTGGTCACTTTAAGCCATGTGCGCAATTGGCTGTCACGTTTTGCCCACAAATATACTGTCAATTCACTTTACAGCATATCCTGTGAAGTGCTTTGAGGCGTCTAGAAGATGTGAAAAGCACAATATCAAATGCAAGAATTATTATTATTATTTTGGTATATAAAAGTCTGAAATGACATGAGCATTGATAGCGATCATTACACGTAAATTTTAAATATCTTCCAAGTTCTTCAAATCAATATACAGAGTCAAGCTATCACAATCTTTCAAAACTTTGGGTCTCAGGAAAGCATGTTTGGGGGCATTAAACATTATCCCTAAGAACACAAGGATAAATAAATATCAATTGTTATTTTATAAGATTTTATTGGAATAGAATATTGGAATACTGGAATGCAATTTTATTGGAATATTGGAATTTTATTGGATTTTATTGGAATAATATTCACTGATGAATAAGTAATTATTAATATTGAATTAAGATTGGTGGATTTGCTAACTATACATCACATCCATGCATTTAATTTCATTACCTAATAGGATGAAAGTGATATAGGGCCGTTGCCTTGTAAAATTCTCTTTTAAACAACATGAATTTTCAGTAACTCCATAAAGAGCTTGGGGGCATTATATAGTCTCAATGTGTTATGAATTTATAACACGTTGATTGGTAATTGGATTAATCACTGAATTCACATCAAGCAGCCTGATGATAATGCTGTATAAGATATTGATGCTATATTTGCAATAACAATATCAAAACCGAGGAATATTGGAAATCATTTGTAGTTATTTTCGCGAAGTAAATAAAAACTTTAAACATTAGCTTATGTTATCCATTGTTTGCATGGATAAATACACCTTTGGAAATCCTCCCGACATGAAAGGCATCCAAAAATGCAATTTGTTGTTATTATATATTATGTTATTTATATTGTGGGATATTGCTGTGTGCAATTGGCTGCTGCGTTTCACCCACAAAATATACAGTCAATTCACTTTATAGTATATTCTGTGAAGCGCTTTGAGTCATCTAGAAGGTGTTATATCAAAGGCGCTATATCAAATGAAAGGATTATTATTATTTTATTAGCGATTTGTATTCTGAAATTTGAAAAATGCCACATTGTGTAATGAAATTTCTCAATTCAATCAAAGGATGAAATTAATACAATATGCCACATAATTTGCAGAGAGGGTGGATTGAATATGGGATGGTTTACCTCAAATGTCTGTTAAAGCTGAGTCCACAACAGAAACATTTCAAGGAGAATTAGACACATTCTTGAGGAAAAATAACATTAAAGAGTACAGGAAAGAGCAGGGGAAAGAGATTAAAGCATATAGCTCCAATATAGGCTGTATGCATATAATGTATACAGCAAACTTGAAGGCTATACGGCATATTGTGTCTGTGCTAGCACTATACTGTATACATTCTATGATTCTATCAGACACTAAAATAATGATTATTTTATGTTGCTAAGTGACCAGTTTCTCTCCTGAAAGAGAGAAAATACATTACCTAGAGGCTATATTGCTAAACAGAGAGAATGAATGAATTATGTACATTTACTGAAAATGTCATCTTCATCAGCGTCTTCAAATCAGCTAAAATGTGTTCATTCTGGTGTTGGAATATGGATAAAAATAAATTAGCATGACTGATGTTAAGGCTGTCAGAATTATGTGTGATCACCAGTTATCATTAGCTGATCTTCTGATTTTATGTTTTGAAATCAAAGAAAATGTTATATACATATTATGAATGGAGATAAACAACCAAAAGATTGAATGTCACAATAAACACAAGAATAATTGCCATTTTAAAAATATAAATTAAAGCTGGAGAAAACATGTTACAAAGGTAAAATAAAAACTAATGTATATGATAAAATATTGGAATTTGTTTAGGATGCCAAACACAGTTAGTGGAACCTGAAATGTCATGTTCTTAGACTTAATACCATTGAATTTAACATCATTTGGGGTAGCAATATTAAATTTAGTATCAATGTGAAAGCCAACTCTTGTGTACCCCAAATAACTGGAAACACAATGTCCATATTATTCATATTTTATGCTGAAAGTGGATCAACCACAGTTAGATTTAGCAAAAAAGCTATTCCATATGCCAACTTGTCTTGGTTGTGAAAGCAGGGACTATCTGTAGCAACTTCTAAGTGCATGGCTTCAATCAGATCCTGGAAAATCAATTTAGGAATATAAGAACAGGAGTGGGCATTTCAGCCCCTTGAACCTGTTCAGCCATTCTATTAGATCATGGCTGATCTGTACCTCAACTCCAATTTGCCCCATATCCATGGGATAAAAGGGACAGTAGCAACATGGATACAAAATTGTCTGGGTGACAGAAAGCAGAGGGTAGTGGCGAACAGTTGTTTTTCAGCTTGGAGGGAAGTATACAGTGGTGTCCCTCAGATGTTGGTTTTAGGTCCACCGCTCTTTTTGATATACATAAATGACTTGGACTTGGGTATAGAGAGCAAAAGTTTGCAGATGACACAAAACGTGGGAACACAGTAAACGGTATTTGGAATCCTTGGACTCCACCATTGTTAAGTGATCAGAGATGCCGCCCGGTGTGGAGGGCGCTATATAAGTGCAAGTTGTTGTTGCTGTTGAGTATGGTAGCAGACTGCAGGAGAACATAGACAGACTGGTGAAATGGACAGACACATGGTAGATGAAGTTTAATACAGAGAATTTAATTTAATCCATTACTGTTTGTGGGACGCTGCTGCACGCAATTGGCTGCCACGTTTCACCCACAAAATGTAGAGTATATTCTGTGGAGCGCTTTTAGATGTTTTGAAGAGGTGATAAGGCACTATATCAAATGCAAAGATTATTATATTAGTATAACTATAGAAGTGTGAGGGGATGCATTTTGGGTGGAAGAATGAGGAGAGGCGATATATACAAAATGATACAATGTTAAAGGGGGTTCAGGAGCAGAGAGACTTGGGGTTTCACATA